GCAGGCGTGCGGTGGCCTGTGGCAGGGCAGGCAGTGCAGCGTGCTGTGCGTGGCGCAGCGTGCATGCCGGCTGCAGTGTGCGCATCGCACTGCGGGTGTCACGGGGCTGCCAGGCTCACCTTGCGCCCTCTGGGCTTGCACCGATGCGGACGTGCCAGGAGCCCTTGCCTGGGGCTGGCACCCCACTCCCTGGGCTCTGCCCCTGCCTTCCTCTCCCACACAGCTCCCCTTGTGCCACGCACCGTGCAAGGGACACGCATCGTGCAGGGGCTGTGCCTGCTCCCCCACCTCCACCGAGCTCTTTCCTGGCAGTGTCCAGCGCTGGGGCTGGTGGTTCCCAGAACCAGCCCCTCTCGCAGGGGTCAGACCACAAGCACTGCGCATGCCGGCAGCAAGGCCCCGCTCCGGGCTGCCAAACTCACTTAAGTGCTTGCGTTTCCCTCCCTGGTCCTAATGTGTTAGGCACAGGGCTGGCAGCAGCTCCCCACTGGTGCCTTGGGGCACCCGCACCCACAAATGAGGGGGGACTGGCACCGCACTCCTCTTAGGCCCCGCACAGTGGATGCTCTGATGCTGGCTTGCACAGCTCCAAAAGTGCCCTGGAGGTGGGCAAGGACGCTCTGCCTGCTCTCCAGCTCGTGCCACCCCCCAGCACACTCTCAGCCCCCCCTGCACCCCAAGACCTGCAGAGAACTGGGGGGAGACAAGCCTGGACACCCATCTGCCAGCACCCCCTCGCCTCCTCACAGCACCCCGCCTGGCAGGGCCACTTTGCAGGTCCACGGCTCCAGGCACCCGCTGTGAGCAGCAGCCAAAGGGAAGGAGCTGGGAGCAGCTCCTACACACCCACCCATCCCAGGCCCGGGATGTTTCCAGGAGGCCTCGGTGGACGCAGAAGGAGCCGGGGCCTAGGTGAGGCTGGAGGAGCAGGGAGAGATGCTGGTGTGGGACAGGAATCGACCATTCCCCCCGGGCAGGAGCAGAAAGGCTGTGAGGGGCTCAGTGCCAGCACAGGGGTTGTCCTCTGTGCACCCTGCTGCACATGTGTGCAAGGTGGCAGCGTGCAAGGGGGCTGTTTGCAGCCCCCCGGCCATGCTGCTGCTGCCCTGCTGTCATCCACCACCTTGGCCTCGTGGCCAGAACCAGAGCTGAGATTTTGGAGCTAAATTGACTCTCCCCCAGCACCAGCCAAACCTCCAGGCAGACCAGGCTCCAGACATAGCCCAGCGGTGTCCAAGCCCTGCCGCAGCCGTGGGGCTTTGGCTTCCCCATGCCCACAGCGAAGAGGCAGCAGCTTCTCCGCCGCGGGGAAGATGCTGCAAGCACGGACTCGGGGCTGTGGCCGTTCAGTTCTCCCCAGCAGGTGAGTGATGCCCTGAGTCCGGCATGGACCCGTCCCTCAGCACAGACCGCCGCCGGCCCTGGAGAGCCCCAACTTGAAGTGCACTTAGGCTGTGAGGAGAGCGGGATGGGAGCCAGGGGCTCGAGCCAGAGCCTTCCTGCTGGAAACCTGACCTGAGGGTTTCTGCGGAGGCGCT